CTAAAAGAAAGTGACTATAAAAGACAAATATGAGCCCCCAAACAGATGTGGTAGGTGCTGCCCAGGCCTCACCCCTTCTGAGGAACATTGGCAGGTGATAGATAGTGCCTGGGGTGGGCTGTGTCCACTAGTAGGCTTCCATGCTTACTAGGTGAGGGTGGACTGCCCCTCACCTGCTGGTATAATGTTTTGGACTGCATACACCTTACCCTTGTTCATTCAAATGCTGATTCCTCTCCCCCACTATCTGTTTTCAATTTGGACATTGCTCTGTGATCCTTAATCTAATCATCACCTGTCTCAAAACAATCAGCCACAATGTTGAGCAATGGAGAGGACAGGGTGGGACATCCTGGTTCAGAGCATGAGGAGAGGAAGGAGTAGGAGGGGAACAAGCTGGGAGAGCAGAGGCTGGAGGAGAAGTCTTGGAACGATGTGGACAAATGAACTGGACCTAAGATATCACTAAAAGCAAGTATAATGGGTGAATCTGAATGGTATGAAACTATGTGGGCTTGGAGGTCTTTAGAATGGAGTAACTATTGCCCAGCATTGTGTTCTAGGTTAACTAAATAAATCCTAGTCTCTGTGTGGTGATTTGGTTAAACAGCTGTTTAGGATTAACTGCAGCTTTACTAAAAGATATATCAATAGTAAACATTAATAACCTAATACAACACTCACCCATGGACAGGACTAATTGGGCTTAGTGAGTTTTTGTTTTTTTGTTTTTTTTGTTTTTTTGTTTTTTTTTTTAAGATATGAAGTTGAAAGAACTTCTTGAGTGAAGATATGGGGGAAATTAGAGGGGATAAATATAATATTTTATTGTATACATGCATGAAACTCTCAAGAATAAAGAGAAAAGTTAAAGGCAAGTGAGATAATCAAAGTCAAGGAGTTTTGCAAAAACTGGAGTGAAGATGAGGTGGGTACCAGATGAAAAGGATTATCAAAATATTGATAATCACCAAAGCTTGCTACATTCTTCATAATTAGAGAGATGCTTGGCATTTTCCATGATTAAAAGCTCTTTTAATTGTGCTGTTGCACTGCCCCACTCTCCACCCACCTCAGGCTGACGAGGTCAGGAGAACCGAGGAGGGGGTGGAAGCCCTCAGGGTTCCTCAGGACTCAGGGTTCCCTTTCAGAGGCTCAGCATAAACCTCCTTCAGACAGCCATCATTTACTGACCCTGGAACCCGTGCCTTTTTACTCAAAGTCCCTATCTCAGTTACTTTTCTCCTGCTGTAATGAAGCACCATGACTGACGCAACTTATAAGAGAAAGCATTTAGTTTGGAGCTCACGGTCATCGTGGAAGGCAGCTTGGTGACAAGCACAAAGACATGGCGCTGGAGAAGCAACTGAAAGCTTGTGTGTTGAGACAGCAACCACAAGGCAAAGAAAGACTCAGCTGGAATGCTGCTGGCTTTTGGAATCTCAAAACCTCAAAACCTCAAAGCCTTCAGTGACACACCTCCTCCAACATGGTCGCACCTCCTAACCCTTCCCAAACAGTTCCACCAGCTGGGGACCAAGCATTCGGACAAAAGGGTCTATGGGGACCAATGTCATTCAAATCAATACAGCCCCCCAAACGTACCAATAGTGTTCCTTACTATTTCTTTCCCCTTCCTCCTCCTCCTCTTTTTCCTCCTCCTTTTTTTGTTTTGCCTTTTGAAACAAGGTTTCTCTGTTGTAGCCTCAGATGTCCTGGAACTTACTCTGTAGAGCACCTTGGCCTAGAACTCAGAGATCTACCTGCCTCTGCCTCCAGAGTGCCGGGATTAAAGGCGTGTACCACCACTGCCTGACATGTCTTACCATTTCTTTAAGACCTCATGAGATCAGAGTTCCATTTGCAGTTTGGGGTGGGGGGAGTGTAAAAACAGCCTAAAAAGCACTACTTTTCTATTAACTGATCATGAACACCTTTCCAGGAACATGATAGCAAACAATTATCCACATTTGGCAGCTTTTCTGTTGTGAAATGCCTTTTTACATGGTGACCACGTGTGAGAGTGGTGATGGCTGCCTTTGTGTTGGCCTACTTCTAGTGTAAAGTGACAGCTGGGTTACAGCAGCCATAACTTGATTTGTTCTGGGTCAATTTAAAGAGAGCGGTATCAGATTCATGGCTTCCATTTTCCCACACCTGAGCCAGAGAGCAGGCTCAGCAAGTAAAAGCTCGTGCACACAAGCCTGCTGACCTGAATTGGGTCCCTGACCCCCAAAGTGGAGAAGAGAACCAACTCCCAAAAGTTTCCTCCCCCCCCAACCTCCACAAGTGCATTGTAGCACTTTCTCTCTCCATAAAATCAATTTCCCCTACCTGATTAAATAATCAGAGTACATTTGTAAATCTGGAGGTCAACACTATGAAGACATATACATTAAGTTAGTTGTTAGAGGCCACCTGGCTTTCATCACCTATAAAACCTAAACTTGGCCGAAAGCAAGGAGGTTAATAAACACCACACATAATTCTCATGGCCATCATTCCTTTCAAATGTCCAGCTCACCGCAGAGCTTAGGTCCTTTTTAGTAATTCTAAAAGCGGTGTTTGCAAATTTATGTTTTAAAAGTATTAGAGACCTGACATGTTTGTATGGCATTTCCTGTATCATGCTAAGCGCTGCTGAAGTCAAGATTTAGGGACACTTAGGAGTGTTTATTTATTGATTGATTAATTTTCCTAAGCTGTTTGTTTGTGTGTGTGTTTGTTTCCAGACGGGGTTTCACTATGTAGTCTTGGCTGTCCAGGACTCACTTTGTAGACCAGGCTGACCTCGAACTCACAGCAATCTGCCTGCCTCTGCCTCTGCTGGGATCACAGGCATGAACCACTACACCCAACTAGAAGCATTTTCTGTTTTGTTTTGTTTTTTGTTTTTATAGTGTTCTTACATGTGTCCAAGTTATGCTCAATGTCTGAGAACAGAGCAACTGGTGTGTTAAACATACAGAGTCCAGACTCCCCCAGAGAGCACTGAAAATCATTCTCTGGCACTGGAGAAATGGCTCAGCACTGCTGCTTTTCCGGGAAACCCAAGGTTCTATCCAGCACCCACATGGTATTCTGGCCACCAGGCACACTCATGGTACACAGACATACATGCAGGCAAAATGTCCGCACACCCGATAAAACAAAAATAAGTAAGTCTTTTTTTTTTTTTTTTTTTTTTTTTAACCATGCTCTGGTAATATGGCCTGGAACTCTGTACCTCTAGCAAGCAGACTAGAGGATTTATTTCAAGCACTAAAGTTTAACAATCAAACCTTCAAGAATATAAAATTTCTCTCAAGTTTATGAGAAAAGCACAAATAACAACACCAGAAATAAACAGTCAAAGCCTATAAATGGCAAGCTTTAGGAGAGTGGCCTGGTCTTTAGAGTTAAAAACTAGTTTGTAGTGATGGCCCAGGCCTGCCCACAAGAAGATCAAGAAACAAGATCAGGAGGTCAAAGCTAGCTGTGGCTACATACAGGAAATTCAAGGTCAGCCAGGACTGCAGGATCCAGAAAACAGACTATACCAAACCTGATGAATGGCTAAACAGATTGCTGTTCCTTATAAGGCAGTTATTGTTCAGCCATAAAATAAACTGATGTATGATACACAATACAATGTGGAGAAAGCTTGAAAATATTTCAAATGAAGAAAGCCTATTTTTTAAAAGGTCAGTTGTAGCGGGGTGGTGGTGGGACACGCCTTTAACCCCAGCATTCTGGAGGCAGAGTCAGGCGGATCTCTGTGAATTTGAGGCCAGCCTGGTCTCAATTCACAGAGTGAATTCCTGGACAGCCAGGGCTACACAAAGAGAAACACTGTCTAAAAAAAAAAAAAAAAAAGCCATTTCTATGAAAAAAAAAATTTAAAAATGACAAATCCATAGAGAATGTTTTCCAAGAACCATGAAAGGTTGTTTTTTGTTTTTTAATTTATTGTTTATTTTTACGGGTATGTGTGTGAGCTTAGGAGTGTCCACAGAGGACTTTAGATACCCTGAAGCTGGAGTTACAGCAAGTTGTAAGCCACCTGAAGAGGATTCTAAGAGCCTAACCCTGATCCCCTGCAAATGGAGCAAGTGCTCTTGACTGCTGAGCCATCTCTCCATAGGGCTTCCCCCCCCCCAATAAAACCCTAACTGTGCAAATGACCTAGGAGTAGACAATGATGATGATTATAAAACCTTGAGAAGGGGGATTTATAACACTTTCATTCAATCTCAAAAAGTTATCTAAAAAGTCAAAGGAGTTACAAAGTAGTTTTTCTAAACTAAAAGAGGCTTCATTGATTTTTTTTTTCCAAACTAAGAGGCTTTAAAGAAACACAAGTGACCATAATGAATAGATCGTTTGAGTACACATTATAAAGTAACATTGTATAACATTGTATGAAAATCTGGACGTGAACCTGCGGCCATTGTTTGTTTTAGCAATCACATTGGCATTGTCCCCGGGCGTGACTGCCTCTTTTCTTTTGAATATTGAAATATTTAGAGGTGAAATAAACGAAGGCTTGAAATGTTTTAAAACCCACCCCCCAACCCCGCCCGGCCCCAAAAGATGATAGGTAAAATGAGAAAAGTATGTGGTCTGGGGTGAATGGTTGGTTGTTAGCTGCGAGGAGAGTTCAGGAGAAAGAACACGGAAATAGGCCGGTCCTTCTAGGGTTAGAGACAGGCCCTGGGAGCGAACTAGCTGAACCAGACAGGATCTAAGCGGGAACACACGGAGCCCCGGCGTAGTTTTAGGGAAGGAATGTGTTGGACCTGGGTCGGCGGGGACAACCAGAACCCGCGAGGAGGGCGACGATTAGCACTGGGTCCAACGCAGTGAAAGCAGAACCTGCGCTGCGAGCTCGTGGCCCCGCCTCACCTGGCTGATCCGCAACGACCCAGCGATTGGCTCCCCGTACCAGCCCCGCCCACAACCCAGGACTTGGCTGCTCTCTTTTTCCTGTCCTGGTCCCCTCCGAAAGGCCCGCTGATTGGCTGCGGGTTTCTGGCCGGCCCCGCCCCGCTCCCCGCTTGCTGTATTGGCGCAGCGCGCACAGCCTCGGTCTTTCTGCCCGGGCCTTGGAGGTGAGTGTCCTCTTGGGAGGAGGGTGTCTTGATGGCCCGTGTCCCCTCGAGCTTTGCCCGCCCCGAGCTCAGCTGCTCCTGGCGGCCAGAACGGAGGGGTAGAGCAGTCCTCGGCGGCCCGGGGGGCGGGCGGCCGTGCCCAGCCCGGGGCCGCGCGAGACACAAGGCCCTGTTCGCTGTCCGGCCCGGGCGCCCTGACCACCGTCCTTTTCCTCCGCAGGCCGACCCTTCTGGACTCGGTGCCCAGCCGTGCGGCTGCCTCGGACCCAAGCGCAGGTACGTCCCGGCACTGATGGAAGGAAGGCGCAGGCCACGTGGCCGAGGAGACCGAGGTTCCGGCCGGTCTTTGTTGAGCTGCTTTGCTTAGGCCCTCCCGAATCGCCCTTTCCTGTGCCCTTTTAAGGTTGTCGCAGTACTTTGAGAGGCTAACACAGAAGGGCAAAGGAACTCTCCATAAAACCCAGAGAGGAGACTGCACACCTCCGCTTTGGATCCTGTCTGGAGTCACAGATCAGCCAGGAGCTTCGCTTAAACTTTGAGCGTGCCCCTTTTAGATTTCGGGTGGCTTCTAGGAAGTGGTTGAGAATTCAAGAGAGAAAGAAGGGATTGGCCTGCTTTTCTAGAAATGGAGTTTCAGATCAGCCGAAAAGGATATGTGCAATTATTTTCCACCTATCTGAGACGTTTTTTATTCTTTTCTTACAGGTTGAAAACTGCAAGAAAGAAATTAGTGAACTGAGGGGCTCCAAGGTGAAGTAGTCTCCACGTAGTGCCCTGGCTTGCCGGCCGCCCGCTTTGTGGCTGAGATAGGTGAGGCCCCGTTTGACAGGTGAAGAATGGGGCCCACGTGAGAGTGTCCGTGAATTGTAGTAATTGGCGGTGCTGAAGGTAGACTCCCGAAGTCTCCCATCAGCATATAGAGTCCTCTCCTGCCCCTTCCTGACTCTCGAGGGCTAGTGTAAGGCATGTTAGGCATTTTTAAGTAAGCAGGGAGAAGGAAGATTTAAAGGATGTTCATAAGAATATGTTGTCAGAGTTGCCTGGAACCCTCTGCATGCTAGGACGAGTTCTTTGCTAGTAGCTAGTCAAGATGTTGTTAACCTGTACATTTTTGTATGTTGGTAATTTCCCGCAATCTTAAATAAAGTCTTTCCTGTGTCAATTTCATAGTGGTTTTAAGTAATCCTTTGTGCTTGCCTGTGTCCTTAGGACAATTGAAGGAAGTAGTCTGTTATTCTATGACGTGGGCTCCCTCTGATCAGGCCCTCAGGCCAGGCACCTTTAGCTGTGGGGTTATTCTTAGCATTGTTTTTCCTTTGGCCTTTCCAAACTTACTGAATGCACAATTTCCATTTTGCTAGGCAGGTACTGTGTGAGAGCTCCCCCTCCCCTTTTTTTTTTTTTCCAAGATAGGTTTTCTGGTGTAGAGCTGGCTGTCCTGGACTCACTCAGTAGGCCAGGCTGGTATAAAATTATGGAAGGATTTTTTTTGGTGACTGTTAAGCAGTTGTGTGTTAAATATATAATTGTTTTTGCTTTTTAAAGCAATTCTGGGAACACAGTTGTCTGTAACCATGTTGGCCACATGGTTGAGTGCTCAGTTGCCACATGTGGCTAGGGACCGCACAATATCCTGTAACCAAACTCTTCTCCAAAAATGGACAACCCAACAAGTGTGGTATGGGCAGAAGAATGCACAGGAAAAATACAAAGGGGGAGAAGGTAACATTCCCCCTGCTTTAAATTGGTCCAGTGGGACTAGTGGCACTAGCCAGAAAAAGGACACAGAAAATGTACTTAATTGAAAGGTTTCATTTACAAAAATTCAACTGGAATATAATAGGGTATTCTATATTTTTGGCCTACAGTGTCCCACAAGTAAAATTAAATATTTGATGGGTTTTGTTTAGTTGTTTTTAACACCAGTTTCAGGCGGAATCTCTGAATAGCTTTAAATTTTTTTGAAAGTATCAAAACAGGCTGGAGAGCTGACTCACCATTGAAGACCACTTGTTGGGTTCCCAGCATCCCTGTGGAGGTTCACAGCCAAATCCAGTTTGCTTTGTCCTCTGCAATGCAAGATCATCAGCAAAGGTTACACTGAGAAACTTTTTCCATGAGTTTTGTTTGTGTCCAGGTTTTCTTTTGGAGTAACTTTGCAGCTACTTTTCTCATAATTAGTTGGCTATTGGTATGTCTTGGCTTCCAGGCCAAGATTGTGTGAATTCTGTGGCTTGACTGGACTAGGTCTCTAACAGTTACCAGGTTACCTAGCACTATCAGTGCTTCTCAACCTTAAGGCTTCGACTCCTTAATACTGATGTTGCAGTGACCCCCCCCCAACCATAAAGTTATTTCACTGCTATTTCACAACTAATTTTGCTACTGTTACTGTAATGTAAGTATCTGGTATGCAGGATATCTATATTCAACCCTAAGTGGGTTTTGACCCACGGGTTGAGAACCACTGTTAGATGAAACAAGTTAAAGCCAATAGCAGTTAATATCTACCATGGATAAGTTCACAAGCTATTAAAAATACACTATAACACCCCAGCCTTCATTTTTCCAGCTGTTAAAGGGTAATTCTGCATTTTGCTAATTGTCAATAGGACTGATGCATTAAGTACCATATTACAGCAGACCCCCCCCCCCCCCACACACACAATCTAAAGTAAAGATGCGCCCTAAAAACTGACCTTAGGCTGTATATTTAGAATGAGCTAGTTTGAGCCAGGTGTGGTTGCACATGCTTTTAATCCCAGCACTTAGGAGGCAAAGGCAGGTGGATCTGTGAGTTCAAGACCAACCTAGTCTACAAATAGAGTTAAGGGTAAAACCAAAAGAAAACATCACACACAAAAATGGGCTAGTTTGAAGTTTGTTGTTTTTATTGAGGGGAGTGAGTACTCATTGGGACCTGCAAATGCAAGAAATCAATATAATAAATTTAAAAATACATAACTGGTTGCTGATTTATCCAATCTGAATAATAGACTGTGTGGATGTGTATCCATAATTCTTGATCCCTGAAATCCATACTGCAAATAGAACATATATTTGGCATTAAATGTAACACACTAAAAACAATATTTTGTAAGCTTTGAATGTTTTATTAAGTTTTCAGGTCAAAGTATGTAGAGTTCTGTTTTTGCAGGCAAATGGAACTAGAAGGCCATCCTGAGTGAGGTATCCCAGAAGCAGAAAGACACACATTGTATATACTCACTTATAAGTGGGTATTAGGCATATAGGATAAACATACTAAAATCTGTACACCTAAAGAAGCTAAGCAAGAAGGAGGACCCTGGGTAAGATGCTCAATCTTCACTCAGAAAGGCAAATGGGATAGACATCAGAAGAGGGAGAAAACTGAACAGAACAGGAGACTACCACAGAGGACCTCTGAAAGACTTTACCCAGCAGGGTATCAAAGCAGATGCTGAGACACAGAGCCAAACTTTGGGCAGAGTGCAGGGAATCTTAGGAAAGAAGTGGGAGAGAGAAAGACCTAGGGGACAGGAGCTCCACAAGGAGAGCAACAGAACTAAAAAATTCTGGGCACAGGGGTCTTTTCTGAGACTGATATTCCAACCAAGGACCATGCATGGAGATAACCTAGAACCCCTGCACAGATGTAGCCCATGTCAGCTCAGTGTCCAAGTGGGTTCCCTAGTAAGAGGAGCAGGGATTGTCTCTGACATGAACTCAGTGGTCACTTCCATCTGAGGGGAGAGCAGCCTTACCAGTCCACAGAGAAAGACAATGCAGCCAGTCCTGATGAGACCTGATAGGCAACGGTCAGATGGAAGGGGAGGTGGACCTCCCCTATCAGTGGACTAGAAGAGGGGCATGGGTGGAGAAGAGGGAGGGAGGGGCTATAGCTGGGATACAAAGTGAATAAATTATAATAAATAAAAAAATAAATTTAACAGTGTGTAGAGTTCTTTTTACTGTATGTGTAGGAGGGTTTCCCTGCTCTGAGCTTGCCTGAGGGCCTTGGGTCCCCTAAACAGAACAGCTGTAAGCTGCCATGTGGGTGACATAACTAAAGCGTCCTTGTTGAGAGCAGCAAACACTTAACCATCAACCTATTTCCAGCCCCTATTTCACTTTTTGTTTGTTGTCTGTTTCTGAGACAGAATTTCATGTCACCCTGTTGGGCCCAGAACTCTATGCAGCTGAGGATCACCTTGAACTTCTGATTCTCCTGCTTACAGCCTCTCAGATTTATGTGGTGCTTGGGACCAAACCCCTAGCTTCTTGCATGCTGGGCTCTGTCAATGAGCTCTAGCCCCACCCCTCACAGTGCAACAATAATGTCTAAAAAATGAATAATGCTCAAATGTATGCCTAATACAACAGATGAATATTGTTTGAAATGTTCATCTCTTGGACATTCGGACCGGTTCCTCCTTTTGGCTATTGTGAATGTTAATATACACACTAATGTGCAATCATTTGAATCTTCTATGTATTTACTGAGAAGTTAAGTGTTGACTTACACAACACATCTACTTTTCATTTCTGAGGAGCCATCCTTTATCCGCAGCAGCTACCCCACTTTCTCATGAGGACTGTGTGAGCACAATATTAAGTATAAGGTTCTCTAAGATAATTTAGAGTTTCCTGCTAAAGTTTGATACACACTGACAGTCCTTTACTGAGAAGAGTTGCCTTACCTTTACGAGAGGAGGAAAAAGACTTCCTGAAACTGTTGGCAAGGGAAAGGCATCTCAAACTATAAACGTCGTCTTATCCCATTTCAGCAGAAAAATGAGCTAAAAAATTAGTGGGACACACAGGAGCAGTTAGTTGTCCAACCCAGGGTCCCAAGGCCCTTCTCAGGCACCAAAGAAACAAAGGAGCTAGCTCTCTTTTCACGGCAGGGAACGGGACCTTTAGGTCCCCCTAGCTGGGAGCGGTTGGTTAACACAAGTGACTCAGACACAACCAGAGGTGAAACAAAAGCAAACAAAAGGGCGAGGGAGTCGAAAACACTGGTGGACAAGTCTGCGGATCACTGGCCAGGGAGACTCGTATTTCCTTAAACTCAGACCCCCCAACTCCGCCCCTTGGCCTGAATCCCCGCCCCGCCACAGCTCGGGCCCTCCGCCGACACCGGAAGTGAGCGTGGCCAGCTTTTGCTGTTGGAATCCAGGGTGGAGTCCCAGGTCCCTAGGCCGGTTTCACGCCGATCTGACGCGTCCTGTGTCCTACCCTCTCCCAGTCCCAAGCAGGTGGGTCTCCAGCTGTGCTTGGAGGAAGATGGGTCTCCGAGACCCTGTCAACTCAGTACTCTCAGCTCTAGACTTACGTCTCGGGGCCTTGACCTCCTGGGCATATTACAGCTAAACATTAAATCATCAAAACAGCCCCCAACAGATACTCAGGTTTTTCAAGAACTCGGAGACCAGTCTCATTATGCCTGCTGTCTCTCCGGATATCACTGTAGTTCTTCCTTTTCTTTCGGTGGTGGTTGAAGCTCCCCATCCAGCAGGGATTACTCCTGCAAAGCAGCCCGATTTAACCTCGGCCGTCCATCTACTAATCTTCCTAATGCAAATCTCATCATGTCTCCCAGATAAGTCTTGAGTCTCTCAAACATCAAATCCCACGACCCCTCGTTAGTTACAGGTCCCGGCAGACACTTTTTATTCCACTGGAACAGACGACAGGTAAATGCGCCGAAAATGAATGCGGTATGTCGAAATTTCACAAACAGGGCACACTTGGGCATGAACAAAACCAGCAACCAGAGATGCCCTTGAACACTTACCCGCTGTCCTCCACCCTGGGGGCTACACCCTTGCCTTCTCCTGGTAGAGTACTGTTTACACAGGGCAGGGCAAGTCAACCTGCATTTTGTTTTTGGCTTCTTTAACGCACTGTTGTGAGGTTCACCCATTTTTTTTTTTTTTTTTTTTTTTTTTTCAGTCTGTTGGTGAGGCCGCATTCAGTTGTGCGGCTGCAGGAAAATGGATCCAGAAAAACGTTAGCGGTAATTGGGGTCGCTTCCATTTTGAAGCTATTAAAACATTGTTCCATCTTTTGATGTATCTATTGGTGCGTGTATCGGTCAGACGCCAGCAAACAGAAGTCGTGAATCAAGGTTATGGCCATGTTCAGAATTATTGGATATATTTAATGTCTTCCAAAGTGTCTATGTTAATTTATACTCTCAGCAGCAGCATATGGAAATTGAAGCTCAACCTTCCCATCAACACTTTTTTTTTTCACTTTGTTGGGTGATAATTGAGTTGGCTGTTTTTAATTTGCATCTCTGTGATAATGAAGTTGAGCACGATCATTTTGTTTGCTTGTTTATTTTGAGACAACATCAGACGTAGCTCAGGCCGGCCTGGAATGCATCACGTGGCTGAGAATGACTTCTTTTTTCTTTTAAAGCATTTACTTATAAGATTGTGCCTTGGTGCGCATTTGGAGGGAGTCAGCTCTATCCTCCTACCCTGTCGATTCTGGGGATGGATTCAGTTCAGCAGGCTTGGCAGCCGGGGCCTTTCGTGTTGAGCCATGTCTCCACATGCTGGGGTAACCTTGCTCTGTTGACTCTTCTCTGTACAGACTTCGCTACCATCCTCGCCCACTGAGCCCCTTTTCATCTGGAGCATTTGCTAACTTTTTTTTCTTTTTTGCACCCCATCCCTTTTTTTTTTTTCCTGAATGTTTGGTATCCTCTTGGCACTTGACTATGAAGCATCTTGAGTATTCAGCAAAATTTAAATAATTGTATAAAATTAAATCCCTTAAACTGACCACATAGATTGTTGTCAATGCTTTATACCACTGGCTTTATGACATTTCCATCCTTCCCTCTATCCATCTTAACACTTGCATTTCAAAGTAAATTGGTGGTAATGTGTTTATCAGCCTCACTGTGGGCCAATTATGCCAGTTCCAGATTTCGGTATAATTGGAAGCACATTCTTTGGTGTATGGCCTTTCAAATTCAGCATGCTGTATCTGAAATTTACCCACATAGTTGCACATCAAACATTTATTCCTTTATGAGTTTTCAGAGTAAACTTTCATTTGATAAGGCAGATTGTTTACCTATTGTCAACGTGGGTTTTAATTTTTAATTTAGTGTATATGTGTTGACTATGTATGTCTATGTATGCCATGTGACTGCAGTGCATACAGAGGCCAAACAAAGGTGCTGAATCTCGTGGAGCTGGAGTTACAGGAGGTTGTAGCACCTGACATGGGTGCTGGGCATTGGACATGGATCTTCTACAAGACCAGTATATGCTCTTAACCACTGAGCCATCTCTCCTGACCCAAAATCCCTTTATTGAGGCACGAATACACTACATTATGTCTATATTCAATTTCTGCAACATGGTGGATGTGGAAGTAATTTTATTATTTTCAGACCATCAACATGATCAATACCTTAAGCGTGTCCATCACTGGCGTGGTCCCTGCTGCCCTCTTGATTATCGACATTGTAATGCTTGAGATCTTGTCTGTCACAACATCCTAAGTACAAAGCACGGCCAAACTTTCATTCCTTCAAGACAGGGTCTCACGCCATAACAAGGCAGGCTTCAGACTCTCAGAGACCCTGCCTCGGCCTCCTGAGTGCAGGGTGACAGGTGTAACCTGGCTCTGTAATGCTTTGATAATGTGGGTGTGATGATTCAGTGGTGTAAGCTTGGAGCCTCAGTGCTGGGTGGTTGAAGAAGGATCTCAAATCTGAGGCCAGAGTGGGCTCCGTAAGGAGGGCTTCAAACCGAGAAAACCACAAAGGGCCGTTGAGACGGCTCAGCAGGTAGGGCCCTCGTGCCCATCGTGACAACCTGAACGTGAGCCTGGGGACCTACATGATAGAAGGGGAGAACCAACTCCTGAAAGCTGTCCTCAGACCTTCACACTCACTCTGTGGCACACGTGTTCAAGCACACATGCAAACATAATGCAGGCAGACACACATTTAATAAACGAATAAGCAAATGTAATTAAAATAACATTTAAAGCAAAAGTGCTGAGACAGGCATCGAAGTGTATGCCTTCAATCCCAGCTCTTGGGAGGGAGGAGGCAGAACTCAGTGAATTTGAGGCTAGCCTGGTCTACATAGTGAGTTGCAAGACAGCCAGATATACATAGTGAGTCCCTGACTGGAAACAAAACTAAACAAACAAACAAACAAAACGGTGTTATATTTCGTTTTTTAATATCTCAAATATTTGTCTATATATATTGAAAATATCTCTTCCTGTTCCAATTTCCTTTTAATTCTTTTAATGATTTCCTTTGAAGAAAAAAATATTCTCGACATTAAAACAATCTAATTTTATTGTCATGGTTAGTTTTCTCCTGTATGTGAGAAATGTCTACCTTCTTCAAGTTTTAGTTTGCTCATCATCATCTTCCATCCACTTAGAGTTAAGGGTGGAATGGTGTCCTGGCTAGTTTCTCTCAATGTGACGCAAACTAAAGTCATCTGAGAAGAGGAAACCTCAAGAGAAAAAAATGCCCCCGCATGATCAGGCTGTGGGCAAGCCTGTAGGTCATTTTCTTAATTAGTGATTGATGGGGAAGGGCCCAGCCTATTGTAGCTGGGAACAACCCTGGGCTGATTGATGGTCCTCGGTTCTATAAGAAAACAGACTGAGCAAACTATGAGGTGCAAACCAGTAACCTGCACCCGCCCCTCTGCATCAGCCCCTGCCTCCAGGTTCCCACCCAGTTTGAGTCCCTGCCTTGGCTTCCCTCATTGAACTATGTATGATATATATACTTAGTGTGATATATAAACCAAGTAAACCTTTTTCTTCTCGAGTTGCTTTTGTCATGGTGTTTCATCACAGCAACAGAAACCTAACTAAGACAGTGGGATACAGAGGCGGGCTCACATTCCATTTCTCTATGTGGATAACCAAATGTTCCAGCACGTTTAATTTAAAAGATCAGCTTACTTGGAGCTGTCACAAGGCAAATGGTTATTTATAATGGAGTTAATTTCCCAACTCTATTCCAGTCTATCACTTGGTCTGTGTATCTCTGTGCCAATACCAAATCTCCACTACTATTGCTTTTAGGACAAGCCTTGATGGTATATCAGGGGATTTGATTACAAATTTAATTAAATAGCTGTGTGGTTATTGGCTACATGGCAGACAGCATAGATAGATACAGTACATTTCAGTACTCTATCTCTCTATTCTCTTGGAAAGCTTTTTATACCAGCCCTGCTCTAGAAGGAAATCTAGAGGCTTTGTTTCATAGGTGCATGCTCCTGAGTTTAGAGGTAGGATGCTCTTGAGAATATCTGTTCAGGGGCTCAAGAGACAGCTCAGCAGTGAAGAGGACCAGATGCTCTTCCCTGGGTTTAATTCACAGAACCCACACGTGGCTTACAACAACCTGTAATTCCAGTTGCGGGAGATCCAACAACCTCTTCTGACTTCCAGGGGCACCACACGTATGTAGTACGCATATATACATGTAGGCAAAACACTCATATCATGAAATAGATACATTTTAAAACGCAGAACATTTATGTTAAACGTTTTCTTACAAGAAACTCAGAACTCAGTTTCTTGGCAAGCAGAAGACTCTAGAATCGCACTGATTGGAGGGGTGCCACACCAACATGGCTGTTGCCACAAACCGTAATTTTCATGGCTGCTGTAACATGTATGTGCCTTGAAGCAAGCAGTATGTATGTATTATTTTATAGTTCTGGATAAATAAATATGATACTAAGTCCTTCTGCACTTGTACTTTTAGAATTGAAAATATTAGCTGGGTGGTGGTTGTACACGCCTTTAATCCCATCATTTGGGAGGCAGATCTCTGACTTTGAGGCCTGGTCTACAGAGCGAGTTCTAGGACAGCCAGAGCTAAACAGAGAAACCCTAACTTGAAAAATGACACCCCCCCCCCCCCAAAAAAAAAAAAAAAAAGGGAAAGAAGATACCAAATGGGTTTCTTTGATCAGACAGGATAATTTTATGCAGCTTCAAATCACAAAAAGGTTCCTGTTGAAATACAGTGGTTACTAGCCATGGGCTAATTATTCAGTTTGTTCAAGTGGGAGACTAAATTAATGGTGTGTAGCTAGGTCCACACTCTAATCCTGAAGCCCTGAGTGGCAAAAGGGCTTTGTATATGTAGTTCAGATGAGGAGCTCAAGATGGTACAACTGCCTATATGAAGGATCTATAAGGACTATATGCAGGACTGAAGAAAATTTCACCACAGGACAGAAGGTAGAACAACCAACGACTAAAGCAAGGGGGACTATGGACTTTGGTGCTGGCTTTGAAACCGGAAGAGGAGCTCCTAGCCAAAAGATACAGAGAGCGCAGCTCTTAAAGCTGGGGCAAGTAAAGAAGCATCCTCCCCAAGTGCCTACAGAGTATGTTCCAGTGGACACCTTGACACTGGCTCCGTTAAACTGATTTTGGACTCCTGGTTTCTAGGCCTCCAGAACTGTAACACACACATATGTGTAGAGCAGCCATGGGAATACAGTCTATGGCAGCAGCCACACTGGTATGACACACCTCGAATCAGTGTGGCTCTAAGAGTCTTCTGATTGCCAAGGAAGCATGTGTAGCAGATTTCACGAACTCTGTCTTTCTGCGCAGCCACACCTCCACGTGTCCAGCACCACCTTATCACAGACTGCTTTGTGAAAGACAGCCATGTCTGTTAACATGTGCCATGTTACATGTACATGTTACATATTACAAGTGCCATGGTAGAACCCCAGAACTACTGTTCCTGAAGGCTTCCCTTGCTAATGTCATCCACTGCTTTTCAAGACCACTCGGAAATGGCCTCATTTTTCTTACAACAGCTGATACCAAAGAGAGATGTTTAAATTTAATTTATCTTTCTCTGTGGAACACCAGAACCATCAAGTCAGCTGCAACTCACACTTCTCTTGATAATTTTTGTCACTTAAGAAATAGTGATTCAGAAAACCAGGAGGTGGTGGCACATGCCTTTAATCCAGGACTCTGGGGGCAGAGGCAGGCAGATCTCTGAGTTCAAGGCCAACCTGGTCTACAGAGTAAGTTCCAGGATAGCCAGGGCTACACAGAGAAACCCTGTCTCAAAACAAACAAACAAACAAACAAAAAGTTGAAGAAAATAAAGAGATTAAGACAAGCCATTCTTCTTCCTGAGTACTCCTATCTACTGCTACTGCTTATTAAATCTCACTGGACATTCAAAAAAGGAAAGAAATAGTGGTGGATGTCTCAGTTTCGCTTACGTCCGTGTGCATTCTAGGCAGGCCTGCATCAAAGGTGTCAGGGCGATGGAGACTCCTTTAATCTTGGCTTCAAAAGGCTCCACACACAATGGTCTTTACACCAAAGCTCTGCAGATTCAGCTCCAGGCCCTACTTGTCTACACACGTGTGAGGGTGTATGTGAAGCTAGCAGTTGTTAGCAAGGTGTAAGCACTGCTTCCCTTGAAAATGATATGAGGAGCTGGGTGTGCTGGTGTGCACTTTAATCCCCGTACACTTACAAGGCCAGCACTCTGATGGCTGAGAAAGGGTAACTGCTGCAGGCTCAAGGCCAGCCTGGCCTCTATCAGAAGTTCAAGGCCAGCTCAGGACACACCGTGAGATCCTGCCTCTCAAAACTCAAACAAGTATACAAACTAATTAATTTAAAAAATGCAAGTAGGGACTGGAAAAAGGGCTTAGCAGCTAAGATCCCTGGCTGCTCTCCCACAGGACCTGAGTTTATTGC